CTAAACAGCACTATTGACCTTGCTGTCTCCTCCTTTCCAACGACTTTCCAACCTCTTCTGTGTCTCCCCAGCAAATGTTGCTCTATAGATTAGTCTGAATCCTCTCATCCTGGCATTGGAATGCTTTCTAGAACCTCATCACTCTATAAGGTCTAAGTTAGGTCATTCTAACTCCTTGAGACTCCTGTACAGACCATGCTTCTCTCCACTGTTGTAGGTGCCCTAAAAGGGAAGATATCAGGCCCTCTTCAGTGGGGATGCTACAATCTAAAGGACTAGCTGAAAATGAGACACATGTACACACAAAAGGAAAAGAGTAACCACATCTAAAAAGTCATGATAGTTAGAATCTTTGACAGTAAACAGATGGAAACAAGTCTCCTCTCCCAAACCAAATAAAGTGAAAGTATGTATTTCCAACACTGTTGAGTGCTCGCAAGTTCATCAATAGCTACGCTTTCCCGCAACATACTTCCGCAAGGAGTCCTTAGACACTGATTTCCTGTGTAGAGCTGTGGAACTACAGAGAAGCAGCATCAGCACATCACTCAAGCTAAGGCCAATGGTGGAACGGAAAACAGAAGCGCACTCAAACCACATGACGGCTGCCCTCTGCGCCCTGCTGCTGAAGAGGAAGTAACAGCAGGTTGGACGCATGGCAGACCCGTGCTAATGATACTAAGCAAGCAACCAGAGAACCAAAATGGGAAGAAGCACTTGATAAAAGGGAATCAACGAAAATAGGAAATACAACTTAAAAAATGTGCATTGTTAGAAGAGCTACTATGACATTGATGATTTATGGCCTATTGTCAGAAAGTCAACTGCTCAGAATTCTAGTGAAATGCTGGTACATGAAATCTGCTGGGGGATCACATCACTGAAGCCTACTCACATTTCATTTTCCTTCTAATTGGAAGGAGAAAAAAATGTACTCAACACGTACATGCTACACACTAATTTCAAATTCATCTATCGTTCTCAAAAAAGTTCATTTTTAATGCTATATCAAGTAATCATTTATTAACTGAAAAGACAATCTGTACATTAATATAGTCATAAAAAATAAAAGTGCCTATGCTTTTGCAACCAAGTCAAGTCTCAGTGAATTTAACTTTGGTTAATTGCAAACTTTGGTGAGTTTAACTTTGCATTCTTTCTCAACTCTGCTTCAAGCAACCCAACAACTTCATTCCCCATGAGTAGCAAAGTCATAGAAGAGGGAATAGTCATACAGATAAGAATGTTATTTTGTACCATTCCAAAATGAGATCTGACATTTAATAAATGAGTGCTAAACAGAAGGGAAAAAGGGGGGGTAGGCACAGTGATTAACATCAGACTTTATTAAGTCAACTGTGACTATCAAACACTTAAATATTCCTAAAAGGGTAACAATGAACAAAGAAAAAGACCAGACAACCCAAAATTAGATGGCAGAACATAGCCACGTATCAGTTATCATATAGAATACCCAACCTAAACTCACCAGTTAAAAGACTAAATTCTCAGGGCACCTGGGTGGCTCAGTCAGTTATGTGTCTGTCTGGCTCAGCTCATGATCCTGGGGTCCTGGGATTGAGCACCGCACAGGGTTCCCTGCTCGGTGGGGAACCTGCTTCTCTCTCTCCCTCCCTCTGCTGCCTCTCTTGTGCTATCAAATAAATAAAATCTTAAAAAAAAAAAAAAAAAAAGACTAAATTCTCAAAGTGGAATAAAAAACATATCTCCTCAAAGATGCAAGAGCATAATATCTGTAACCAAAGAAATGGGAAAAGGTAGTCCAGGCAAATCCTAACCAAAATAAATCCAGTGCAATTAATACAAATGTCAAAATAAATTTTAAGGTACTATATGATGGCAAAAAGGGAAAAATTTTGTACATGTAGATAAAAGGGGGGAAAAAAAGACCCATAATAGGATGCAAAAATATTCAGAACTGAATGGCAATGAAGAACCCTATGTTCAAAGGTTGTGTTTTCAACAAGAGATACTTGAAGGGAAAACTGAGCCAAGATTCTGTATATTGACTATTCAACTCAAGAAATTAGAAAAATAACAGGGTAATCCCAAGGAAAAAATAAAGAGCAGGGGAAAAAATGCTACAAAGTAGAAAAGAAAAAACAGAAACAACAAAGTCAAGTTGTTTCTTTGAAAAAAAAAAAAAATTAAGGGGGTAACTCTATAGGAAGAATGATTTGGGGGAAGGCAAATAACACTAGACATAAAAATGGAATAAAAACTGAATATACAAGACGACAATGCTATGAAAAACCTCAGGCCAGCCAATGTATCAAATTAGAGGAAATGGACAGTTATCCCTAAAAATATGAATTACTAAAACTGACTTAAAAAAAAACAGAAACTTTCAGTATATGGAAATCAAATCAATGATTTAAAATAACAAAAACAAAACAACAACAACAAAAAAACCCACTCTACTACTCTCCTCTTTACACTAGGCCAAGATAGTTTTAAAGGCAAGTTCTACCAGGTCTCCAAAGAATAAATAATCTGTCATTTATCCAAAGTTTTCCAGAGAATATTAAAAAGGAAGCAACTTTATGAGGCTTATAACCTAGGTTACAAAATCTCACAAAGTGGATAAAAGAAAGTTAAAGGTAATATATGCAAAAACCCTACATTAAAAAAATACAGAATGATGGGGCGCCTGGGTGGCTCAGTGGGTTAAGGCCTCTGCCTTCGGCTCAGGTCATGATCCCAGGGTCCTGGGATCGAGCCCCGCATCAGGCTCTCTGCTTGGCAGGAAGCCTGCTTCCCTTCCTCTCTCTCTGCCTGCCCCTCTGCCTACTTGTGATCTCTCTCTGTCAAATAAATAAATAAAAATTAAAAAAAAAAATACAGAATGAATACCAAGTCATCACAAATAAGTAGAGACAATGTGGAAAAATTCACCTTGGTGGATACTGGCTGGAATTGAAATTGGCACAACCACTTTGGGGATCACTTTGCAGTACTGGGGAAATATAAGGAAGTACAACTTCATTCTATCAACATTCCAATTCCACAATGTCCGAACTCCACTACAAAGTGTCCACCCTGAAGAAACTCTTGCACAGTAAACAAGGCAAGGTGTACGATTATGTTCACTGAAGCACTGATTATTATACGACAAAAAGAAATGGAGCCTCCGTGGAGGAAGGGAGAAATTCGTTCAGTCATTCACAGTAAACTAGACAGCAGTTAAACAAAGTAGATTTACATGCTGTAAAAAGAGATGGACAGAGCAAGAGAGGAGAGAGGGGATGGAGACTTTAGCAAAGTCTCTAAGGTTTTAGTTCTTAAAAAAGAAATCTGAAACACATGGCAACGTGGGAACATATGATTAAAATTTTTATGGTGAATTATAAATTATTTCCTAGAGTTTTGTAGTTTTTACATACATCATGATTTTAAAAGACCACAAAAATAGATTTAAACCATAAAGGACATTGGTAAATCTTGATGTATGGTGATACAATGAGATTCAGAGATAGCAGGGACCTTCTGAATTATCTAAGGAATCTTATATTCTATAGACGAAGTCAGTTTCTGGGCCTCAGTTTGGTTTGAATAAATGACTTAAGGTCAAGTTATCATATCAAGCTGGTTCTCATATTCTAGACACCCTAACTTCTAGGATAGGTAAGAGAAACAAGGGACATGTGGTCAAATGTAACTGAGTCAAGTTCAGACCAGCTACCTTTTGTGTTCCTTCCTGTCCCCTCACCCCCAGATACACAGTGTCACAGTCTTCCCCACGCCCCTCCCTGTCTCTCTTAGAGCTTTAAGGATTTTTAATCCTCTTTTGCTACTCCTGTTCTTGAAATAACTGAAATATCAGAATAATTATAACTAAAATGAGTCAAATAAAGGCAAGGGCTTAGAAGACATTCAACTTAGCACCCTCCAACCTTGTACTCTAATACACGTTTAAATATATAATAAACTACTGTTCAACTAGATAGGTCTATTTCACCAAGCTGAATGCTTTCATTGTAAAGTATAACTTCTATTTTTAATATGGAAGAATGTAAGGAATGAGGAAAAAATAACTTTAATATGTAAATAGATGAGAAGACCCTCAAAAAAGATTATTTAGAGACCTTATTTTCAATGAACAAAAGAGGTCCCACGCATAGCAAATGGAACAGGCTAGTTTGGTGGTCAGGTCCATGACGTCTGGAGTCACAATGCCAGATCTGGAATTCGGGCTCACCCACGAACTAGCTGGGAAACTCCAGACAAGTTACGATAACTCTCTAAGCCTTACATCTGCCCACTGTAACAATGAAAATACCCACAACAATACCTACTAATACCTACCTCACAGAGAGTCTCACAAGTGCGATGTGAACTCATCCAACGGAAGCAACTGACACAGTTCTTCAGTGAACATCAACTATTAGCATACATTCTTGTAAATAAAGCAACTTAGCTATGAAAAGTAACAAGCTCTTCTGACTGACAAAATTATAAGGTATGAGACGATTTAAAAAATTATATTGGTTTTGGTCACATCCAAGCTAATGAGTTACATGCCTTATAAATCAAGAGTGTTTTTTAATTAAATGACACTAAATAATTGAGCTTGATTTTAAGTCTGTATATGACTCGGAATTAAAAAGAAAAAAAAATAACAGGTAGTGTTAAAGTGAAATTAGCATGGTTCTTGAAATAATCAACATAGCACTACTGGTTTTCCTCAAGCAAATCCCTTACGGACAAGGTAACAGTCTAACCATATAATGTCCATTCAGAACAAACACCTGCCAACCCATGTGACCCGAGCAAACTAGCCGAACCCTGGTCCTGACTCCCGCCCTGCCACAAGGGTCAGGAAATATTGTCTGTAATAGAAATGACCCTCTTCTAGGTTTTCTTGTTTTTTGAAGCAAAACTGACAGGCCAGCTTATAGGAACACAGCAAGGTACACACTATGCCGCCACACCAGTGAGGGCAGCCCGTACTTCCGCTCTCCAGCGGGGCCCTGTCTCACCTCCAGGTCACAGCTGTACTCGGTGCCGTCCAGGAGGATCACTTTGCACTGGACTGTTTTGGTCTTCTTGCTGGCTTTCTGGGAGGCCTTCTCTGCTTTTAGCTCATTGGTCTGCACTTCCTTGGTCTCCCTCTTTGCTGCTTCTTCTGACTTGTCTTCTTGCATTTCCTTCGTCTTCTCTTCTCTCTCCTTCCTTACCTCTTCAGCAGGCTGTTAACGGAAAAAAGGAAGTTCATACTAAAGTTAGCCAATCTGCAGAAGACCCAAGTATTCAAAGGAAAATCTTCGGTAAGAATCGTGATTGTCAAACACCGTCAGCCTCAGATTTTTAAAGACCTCAAGATTTTGCCGGAAAGGGTATTTCCCTGTATCGCCCTTCCCACAATCCACCGCCCATTTTCTCATTTTACCGATTTGGTAATTTCACCATTAAATAAGTAAAAGAAACTACGTCCTGGCCACTAAAAATTTAAATATTTCAAATATAAAATATAATTTCGCATCATGGCAAAACCTAGTCTTCATTAAGCAACCAAAATGCTCACATGTACAAATCTATTTCTTCCTACTCACTGAACACTTACATACATCAAATCAAAGGTATTAAAATCTATACTACTTAAAAAGGAGAGGTGGTAGAATTTGGAAAGTATCCATTTAACCTTAAAAGGAAGAGTCATGAATTGTTTTTTATGGTTTGCATAAACAGTCAATTTTTTGGTCTTACTATCTTGGCCAGGTTTAAAGAAGTAATGAGAAGGCCGTGGCAGACACTGTAAGCCACAGTAGTGTCTGAATATAAGAAATCTGGATAGGATTCCAAAGAAAAAACTCCTTTTTGGTAAGTGGTTAAAACACCAAGCTTTCAGGGTGCCTGGGTAGCTCAGTGGGTTAAAGCCTCTCTGCCTTCGACTCGGGTCATGATCCCAGAGTCCTGGGATCGAGCCCCGCATCGGGCTCTCTGCTCAGCGGGGAGCCTGCTTCCTCCTCTCTCTGCCTGCCTCTCGGCCTACTTGTGATCTGTCTGTGAAATAAATGAATAAAATCTTAAAAAAAAAAACAAAACACCAAGCTTTCACTTCCAGACAATTCGTTCTCAAACATACCTGTGCCTCAGCACGGCTCACAGAGGGCTTCTCTTCCTTGACATCAACTTTCACCTCCTGCTGCTTTCTCTGAGAGGTTTCTTCAACATCGCCCTTGGCCTGCCTTTCTCCTTCAGGAAGAGATTCCTCTTGGTCTAAAACCTCCTCCACGGCAGCTTGGGCAGGCTCTTTTTTATCTCCTCCGTCTTTAGCCGCTACTAAGGTATAGGACTTCTGTTTCTTAAGCCATGGGGGTATGAATCGAGAAATGCCCCTGCTCTCAGACGGATCCCTCTCTTTCTTCTGGCGGCGTGGACTACTTTGGCTTTTAGCTATAGGAGAAGACTGGGAACGTTTTTCCTCCTCTGGATCAGAGGACTGATTCTGCTGATTTTCTGCTACTTCTTTAGGTTTTTCCTTGGTGGCATCTGCTCCTAATGGCTCAGATTCCTTCTTCACTTCAGATGCGGAGCCTACTTCAGTGGTCATGGTTACAGCATATGCTGTAAACAAAACAAAAACAAACAAAAAAATATCACAAAATGTTATCGTACAAACTCATAGTTTTAGTTTAGAGGTAAGGAACGGTGGGGAGGAAGGGTAGGAAAGGAAATGGCAGAGAGAGAGGGGGGCAGAAAACGTGTAGAGAAGGAAAGCTCATAAGCACAAATCAAAATGGAGATTGCTACTCTTAGAATTCTCCATCAGAATCCAAGAACCAGAAGTTGCATCACAATAGAACTAACTGATTCTGTACTGGTAGGGCTTAAAACCGTTAACAGCTTAGAGTGATTACTTTTATTAAGTTTCATCTAGCCATAAATAATTTTCCCCGCAAAACTCCCATTTTTTAAAGGAAAGTTACTTTTCTCTCTACTCAGTATCCCTTATTCTATAATACAAAAATTTATTGATAATGTTAGAAAGTATGGAAACAAATTTCACTGCAATTTCACATAGTGAAATAAAAATCTACAAAAATGTGAGGTGTCATGCTTGCTTCAGCAGTACATGTACAAAAATGTGAGGTATAAAAAAAATCGGGAATTATAAAGATGAAGTCTAAATGTGGAGTGCTTAAAGTGAGAAAATTAGATCTGGGGGAAAGAAGGTATTTTTCCCCCCAATTTAAATCCCACAATATACCAACATTATTTCAGTGCAGCAGTCTTCCGAGAATACTGAGACTACAATCAAAAATCTAACCCTCCATCCCACTCAACCTCAAACACGGTTTTCCTTGTAGCTGAGATTTTAAGATAAGTATCTCAGGCCCCTAATCAGAACCAAATGAAGACATCATAGCGGTGGGGAGAAGTGCATCTAATAATTGGTCCTACCACAACTAATGAAAAAAAACTGAAATTAAATCTGAAAGTAGGGCACCTGGGTGGCTCAGATGGTTAAGCAGCCGACTCTCAGGTCATAATCTCACATCGTGGGATTGAGCCCCACAGTGGGCTCTGTGCTCAGCAGGGAGTCTGCTTGAGACTCTCTCTCTTTCCCTCTGCCCCCCCGCCCCGGTCACACTCTAAAATGAATCTATAAAAAATAAATAAATCTGAAAGTAAATGGTTGTCTCAATTTCACATAAGCAAAGAGGTACTATTTAAAGTATAGCTCCCCCACTGACATTTAAAAAAAAAAAATAGTAATAGCAGAGAGAGTACACTCTCTCCTCTCTTGACAATGATAAAAGGTCAGGCACCCTAGCCAGCAGCAAATTTTCCAGCTATCTTCAAAAGTGGTACAAAGCTTGAATAGCTCAAAACATAAAAATACACATGTTCTTTTTTAAAGCTTTATTGAGATATAATTCACATACCATAAAATTCACCAACTTAGAATGTGGGTTAATGGTTTTGAGTCTAGTCACAAGATCAACAACCATCACCACTATCTAATTCTAGAACATTTTCATCATTCCCAAAAGAAACTTTGTAACCCATTAATAGTTATTCTCCATTCTCCCCCTTGCCCCGCTCCTGGCAATTATTTTCAATCCATGTGGATCTGACTATTCTAGACATTTGAAATAGATGGCATTTTCACTGAACATAATGCTTTCAAGGTTCATCCATGTTGTAGCATGTATCAGTATTAAAGTCATTAAAATATTCTTCACCATCTTTTGCAAATCACGTATCTGATAAAAGTCTAGTATCTAGGGCGCCTGGGTGGCTCAGATGGTTAAGTGTCTGCCTTCGGCTCAGGTCAGGATCCTGGAGTCCTGGGATAGAGCCCCACATCAGGCTCCCTGCTCAGTGGGGAGCCTGCTTCTCCCTCTGCCAATCTCTGTCTCCAGGAATAAATAAATAAAATCTTAAAAACAAAAAAAGTCCAGTATCTAGAATATATCAAGAAATCCGATAACTCATCAAAGACCAAAAAAAAAAAAATTATGGGCAAAGAAGTTTGAGTAGACATTTCTCCAATAAAAATATACAAATGGCCAATAAGCACTTGAAACTACACTCATCATCGTCATTAGAAAGATATAAACCCAAACCACCATGAAATGCCACTTCATATACACTAAAGGATGGCTATCATCAAACAGACAGTAACAAGTACTGGTGAGGATGCGGAAAATGTAGAGCAGGAATGTGAGATGATGCAGCTCCTTTGGAAAAGTTTCTCAAATAGTAAGTTAGCATAGGACTTAGCAATTCCACTCCTAGGTATATACCCAAGAGAAATGAAAACATATGTTCCCAGGAAAACTTGTCGTCAAATGTTCCTAACAGTCTTATTCATACTACTCAAGAAATAGAAACAACCCAAATTCCTACCAACTAATGGAGGGCTAAACAAAATGGGTGTGTCCATACAATATTATTACATCATAAAAAGGACTGAAGTACAATATATGTTACCATAAACAACACTTGAAAACATTATTCTAAGTGAAAAAATTCAAAAGGTCTTGGATGCATGCATGGGTGGCTCAGTTGGTTAAGTGTCTGCCTTCGGCTCAGGTCATGATCCCAGGGTTCTGGGATTGAATCTTGCATTAGGCTCCTTGCTCAGCAGGGAGCCTGATTCTCCCTCTGCCTGCCACTTCCCCTTCTTGTGCTCACTCTCTCTCTCTCTCTCTCTGAAAAATAAATAAAACCTTTAAAAAATATATAAAAGTTCACATGCTGAATAAGCAAATCCATAAAGACAAAGTAGATTAGTGGTTGCAAAGGGCTGGAGGATGGAGAGAATAATGAGCAACCACGAATAGATACAGGGTTTCCTTGGGGGGGTGATGAAAATGTTCTGGAATTACACGGTGGTAATGGTTGTACAACCCTGTGAATATACTGAAAACCACTGAATTGTAAACTTTAAAAGCATGAGAATTCAACAACTAAAAATAATTTTTAAAATGTTATTCACAGGGTGCCTGGGTGTCTCAGTGGGTTAAGCATCTAACTCTTGATTTAGGCTCAGGTCGTGATTTCAGGATCCTGAGATGGGACCCCATCAGGCTCTACACCCAGCAGGGAGTTTGCCTGTCCTTCTCCCTCTTCTCCTTCCCTTACTCATGCTTGCACTCTCTCTCAAATAAAATCTTTTAAAAAAATGTTATTCACTTCTAATATGTGAAGATGAAAACATTCAGTCAGCCTGCCTATATTTAATGGGCCCCTACAGTGTGCCAGGTACAGGGCCCATGAATAAAGGACTGCCTTTGAGAAGGTGAAGGTAGGGGAGAAGGTGGTGTACAGGTGAGTCAAGAGCACATTGCTTAAAAAAAGGCACAAGACAGATACTTCACCCAGATTCAGAGAAGAGGGTCATTAGGTAAGCCTTTCTGCAAAAGTGGACATCTGAGTTACTTTAAAATGATGAGCCTTCATTCAGGCAAGGAAATCAGTTGGGAAGCATGTAGAAATATAAGAAAATTCCTCTTACAGGAAACCACAACTAATGCACAATAATACACTGTACGAGTGAAGAGGGAGCTTGCTACAGGGATAGGGAAGAAGGGGAGAGGTGAATTGGCAATGACAAAGTAAAAGAGTAGAATCCAGGACATAAAAGGTTGTGTGTATCATGCTAAGAAAGCGCTTGAGGTTGATTTAAAAACAGTAAAAAGTCACATAAGCATTTTTCAGAGACAGGAGTAATGTAATCAGACCCACATTTTGGATAGCCTAGCCCGGCCGGAAAATACAGGATGAGAGAAGAGACTGAAAGAGAACAATAATCCACACACGAGAAGATGAGGGTCTGCATCCGGGCAGCAGTAGCGAGACGAAGGAGAAGAAATGCATCCAATGGTAAAGAGGTTGACGGCATGACACAATGAATGTAGCAAGTCAAGAGAGGAAAAGGGTCAGGGGAAAGTCTCGGGCCATGGGAGACTGGGGTGATGGTGGAACCACCCACTGGAATGAGGAACAAGGAAAGAGGGTCTGACTGAGACAAATCCGGTTTTGAATTCACCGCGATTGACCAGTCTCTCGAGTTGACCACATGGCACACAGGTCTTGAACAGAGACCGGATATGGCGAGAGATGCAGATTTGGGAGATGTCATCATGTGGGGGACAGCTAAAAGCACCAGTGATACCAACGCCACCTAGAGAAGAAGTGTATTTGAGTTTAGAGGGTCCTCAGCAGAACTTTATCCCCACTCAACATTTCAGGGTCAGGTAGAAGAAAAGGCATGAGGGAGAGGAGAAATACACAGTGAGACCAGGAGCTGAGAGGAACTAATGTCCTTGAGGGCAATGCTACCAAGGAGGAATAGTTAGGTAATGAGAACATTTACAGTCCAATCTTACTTCTCGTTTTTAGGCATTTATTTTTAATTCTGTTTGAATATTTGCACATATCAGTTCACTATCTCTATAAAGTATAAAAGTATTAAGTGTAGGTCTGTTAGTAACAGCCTAACTTCTATTGTGTTGACCTCAGATCACCAAATGTAAACACTGTATTTTGTCAAACTGGGAAGTAAACTCCACAAATAAAGCCAGGTGGGCTACATAGGTTCTGGCCTGTTATATTGTGGAAAAAATCTATCATCAATATTCCTGAAGATCAAAAACTGGTGATATTAAGCAAAATTAAGCTATACGTTTTACGTAGTTTTTGTGGAAAATACTAGTTCAATATAAACTAAAGTGTGAATATTAAGGCATCACCTTCATTTAGGAAGACAAGAGGCATGATTCGTTAAGTCATTGTAAAGCTAATGTCAACGTTACTGAGCTTTCTTCTCCAGAGATTTGAAATGAAAGCTCAGGTAAATAGAATGAAGTTACTATTCATAAGCCTAAGTTATTTTTTACCTTCAATTTCTTTAAAATTAATTAATTTTAATAAGAGAATCAGTTGTTCTCTTTATTAGCTTGATTTTGTTGTTTAAATTCCACATAAAGGAGAGATCTTAAGCGGTCTTTCTCTGACATTTCACTCACCATAATGTTCTTTGGGTCCATCCATGTCACTGTAAATGGCAAGATTCCATTCTTGTTTATGAATAAATAGTCGTGTGTGTGTGTGTG